CGATGGAGTTTTGGTTCCTTGCCACTGTCTCCTTTGGCTTGCTTAGTTGGGGACGCTTGACTGATTGCACAGACACTATTGGAAGAGAGCTGAACTGGATGATGACATCACTGAATCATCAATGAACTGATTTTAGCTGAAAAATGGCTCTGTTATTGTCTTCTTGCATCATTGACAAACTATTTTCCTGTTTGACACTGTAAAGCTGCTCTGGCACAGTATTGTATAAAGCGCTATACAAATAAAGGTGACTTGACTTATCTTTAGTCCTCAAGGCCCTACGGGGCCCTCCCTTTAAGCTGCTCCAGTCGGCCGACTTGCGGCCTCTGTCGTTTAAGACCACCCTCCCTTTGGCTTTAGTGTTGATCAAGCGAGTGGGTGACCTGTAAGCACTGTCAGTCAGTGCTTCCTGTCTTGAGTTTGGGCCTAACGACTGTAGAGTCGTCCTCAAACCGAGACACAGCTATGTGCCGAAAGTGCTCTCCACACCATTTAGAGTACAAGTCATCACCCTTCTAGCGCTCCCCAATGGGCTCTTAGAGTGTATGTTGAGCGCTCTGGCCTGTTTAGACATTCAGAGTAGCTCTTTGTGTGCTTCGGAGTCCGTTCTAAAGGGCTGCCGGTTACGAAGCAGAGACTGTCTCACTGGATAGTGGATGCTATAGCCTTGGCTTACGCCTCAGGCCTAGGTGTGAGGGCCCACTCCACCAGAGGAATGGACTTCTACAGGGCTTCTGTCACCGATGGAGTTTTGGTTCCTTGCCACTGTCGCCTCTGGCTTGCTTAGTTGGGGACACTTAATTTCCAGCAATATCGTCGACTTGATTGCACAGATACTATTTAAACTGAACTGAGCTGGATGATGACATCACTGAATTCAATGATGAACTGCCTTTAACTGAAAATTGAGTGTTTACTATTGTCATTTTGCATTATTGACACACTATTTTCCTAATTAATGCTGTACAGTTGCTTTGACAATCTGTATTGTTAAAAGCGCTATATAAATAAAGGTGACTTGACTTGACTTGGTCCAGCGGGATTTCTATTGCTGATATTTGTGCAGCGCATCGTCGCCATCTACCTTCACCAGGTTTTATAACTTGGATGTCCCTGGCCTGCAGGCACAGATTTTGTCCACTTAATTCCTCCTAATCATCTTTGTAAGTGGAGAGGGTTATGTTATGTAGTCCTCAGCCTAAACCCCTTGGGTCTCATTATTGGCTCATGCTTACGGGAGCCCTCAGTACGAGTGCTTTGGGGCTGGGCTCGCAGAGTAGCTTCATTTCTGCACTTGCTTATAGCACAGCGCTATTGGACGTGTTCCCCATAAGCGTGTTTACACAACAGGAGAGACCATTCAAAAAGGAACGCTCCGGTTACTAACATAACCACAGTTCCCTGAGGTAAGGGAACGAGCGTTGCGTAGGCTGCCGTGCAATAAGGCTGCCCTCGAATCGATGACTGTCGCTTCAGTCGAAAGATTCTGCCGAAATGGCGCTCAGAGCCGACTTATATAAAGGTCGGCTCCTCCCCTTTTGGCGGGTTGAAGTGCCATTGGTTCGTGCAGCCACACGAACGTGAACAAATCAGACTTCAATATCAGAGTAAACAGGAGTTTCCCCATAAGCGTGTCAATGCAACGCTCGTTCCCTTATCTCAGGGAACCGAGGTTACGTTAGTAACCGGAGCATTTTTATGCATCAAAACAAACCTATTTTTTTATTTATTTATTTTTCATTTTTCTAGGAAAAACTCAAATTCTTTAATGAATTAAACTGGAAATCTACTTCAGCAGTGCTGAAACTGCTCTTAAAGCTTCAGTGATTCATGCTAGTGCCCATAAAACCACTTTGTAATGTTTGTAGTGGTGAATATGGAGGCATTATTATCCTGGAATATGTAATAATTACATATTAAATATGATGCAGCTGATCCAGTAAAATGATCTCATCCTGTAAAATATATATGGGTCTTTCCTAGGGGCAGCCCTGCTATAAATTCCAGTTTTATAAAGTTCTCCACATTTTTGTTAAAATGAGGTCATGGGGTTGATGTTACTCTCCTGTTGTTATGAGACTGTGTCATGTGGCATTTGGCCTCTGATGGGTGAATCTATTGCTAGGGTATGATCATATTTGACATCTGACCTCCCTTCCTTGTCATTATTTCTGATTCAGTTTCTCTTGACACCCTGCAGAATTTATCAGCATTTTTTACTTGTGCAGTGACTATTTGGCTTGCTTTATACAGTAGTTGTGGTTTACATATTGTTTATGTATATTTCTGTTGTTTTGTCTGCTCTGTATCTCATCCAGAGAAACGTAATTCCGATCTCAGGACCTGACCCGAGCATGACTACTAACAATCTAACTAACAGTTTACTAAGATTAGTAATATTAGTGTTTTGCAATATTGCTTAAAAACAGTTTTGAGTTGAGAGCAGAGCTCTGAATAAGTATAATGATTTTAGTTTTTATTTTTCCTGGTTTAAGTCAGTCACTAGCTTCCCTCATGCCGTTTATTGTCTGTGGTATCAGCCCTCAGATATAATATATGTAAAAATGTATAATTTGTATGTGAAAAGATAAGAGGCTGAGCAGTGAGTGATCATCAGGCCTTTTTCTGCACTGATTTTTGCTAGAAAATATGTGGAATTCTGGAGATTAGATTTATAAAATTCAAATACATGGTAAAATGTGTTCAATAGTACTGCCAAAATGTTTAATGAACAAACACTCAATGGGTGCTGATTCTATGTGGTAATCCTACATGTTTTTTGTTTTAGCAAATTAAAACAAAAATTAAATCTCACATTGAATCTAGTCAGGTTGAATCTGGACACTGTACACACAATGAATAACATTTTTTTCTAGCTATTCTTTCTAATCATGTATGTCTGGGAAAATTATAGAAAAGTCAAAAGGTGTGAGAACCCTAAAATAAAGACAAGTCGTCCCTTTGTCATCCAGGCAGGGGAGCTGTTGAAGAGGCTTCTGACCCACGAATCTGAGACCCATCAGCCATCAGAAAGTGAACTGTCATCTTCTTGCAGCTTGCCCTCTCTTCTGGATGACAGTGTGGAAATCAAGCCGGCGAGGCCTTCCAAAACAAATAAGCAAACTGTTGGAACACAAGGTTAGTAGGCTAGTTTGACATTTCAGCTTAGCTGGCACTTTATTGCATTTACAAATTCAGCTTTTTGCAAAGATCTGCTTTTCCGGTTTCAAATGAATAGCTTGTTTAAATACACACAGTTGTTAAGAGCTGTGCTCGGCCAGACAGTATAGCTCAGAGAGAGAATCTGAGAGGGACTCCCCAAAAGCAGGCAAGCCACATTAAGGGTTCATTTTCAGTGCTTAAAGCAGGGAAACATCAGCTCTGTGGCTCCGTTCTGATGAAGGCTGAAGAGGAGACCTCGAGTACTCGCAGGATGCCAGAGCTCTGACCCTCATGAGAATACACTTTTGCCCAAATCTCATTTCTGACAAAGCCAGCCAGCCTTCATTCTCCCTTTAAACCTGTCTTAATCAGTCCGGCTGTTCAGATTCAAAAAGCTCCCCAACCCCCTTCCAGAGCTCTCTCTCGCTTTCTTTTCTTTCTCGTTTCTCCTCTGTCTTGCTCTTCCACCGTCTCTCTGAGCTGCGCTTTCCTTCTCTTTTCTTTGTTTCAGGAATTCAAAGTGCTGAAGAGGACAGTGCCGACCAAAGCCCAGTGGAAAGTATTCCTATTAGAGGTAAAAAGGCAGATCGAAGAAGCGCCCGTTCGGGAGTTCTTCTGTGTCCGTTTTGTCTTTCTCCTCACGCAGTAGATAATGGGGTCCCTTTTTTCCCAACTGGATAGCTGTGAAAGGATGATCAAGGTGAATCAGAGGTCAAAGTCCCACCTGAAGAGTGGAACAGTTCTTCTAATTATCGGCAGAGAAAACAAACCTGTCTCTTTTCTTCTGCTCTAGGTATGGCTGAAACTGAGATTCTCAGAGCGCATAATGCGGAGGTTTAATTGTCCACCGGCCGGGTTGGGGGTGCCGCACAAGATCTGTCATTGGTTCTCATTATCTGCTAAACAATGCCAGCCAGAGGCAGACTTGAAAAGACTGGATGTCAAGGCATCCTTTGAAAAGCCTCGTGTAGCAAGTCCCAGCGCCAGCTCAGAAATGTAAAACTATCCATTATTCCACTTGGCTATCTGATTTCAAACTGTGCCTTTCATGCGCAGGGCTAGCCCAAGAGCGCCACGGAGAGAGAAGTCCAGCTTCTCGCTGCAACTAATCAAAGGCATTATGGTAGTAGAAAACCGCCTCTGCTGTCCCTGGCTGCTTATGCGCTGTTTACAGGTGGCTAATGAAGACTGCGTTGAGTTCTGTTGCCTTTCGTATTACATCACTCTGGAAAGTTGGAAGCCGAGGTCTTTAGCAAATATTTGACTAGCTGCTTTCGCATTTTGTAATTGTTTTTATTTTTTATTTTTTTCTATAGAGACCAAAGCATATCAGCTGCTTAAACAGTCTGTGGCACAAGAGAGGCACTGGAGTGACTCGGAGGAGCAGAATTCTGAGCCGTCAGGTAACAGAAAATAATAATCACTTTTTAATTTTAATAATATATGTACATAAATAGCCCTTTCTCTTTTAAACTACATGTGCAGCGCCCATTTAACCCAGTTACATTTCAAAAATGTGGAGAGTGCTTTGAATGAAGAAAAAGGATCTTGAGGGTACAATGTTTAGGTTTTCACATCAACACAAGTTCACACAATCAGCTAAGACACACGCAGCCCTCCCAGCAGCGCCTCTCCTCCACGAATCCATTAGGGCAGGTAATGGATGGGTGAACCTCGAGAAGAGTAATCGTCTCTGATTTCACATGCTTTTCCGAGCATCACGCTGACACAAGGGACGAAAGTCTCCCTCCCTGTGTCTGCGTCTTTTTTTTCCCCCCTCTTTCTTCTTTTCTGTCTCTTCTGCCCATTCTTTATGCCCACTCTGCCCACCTCCCCTCGCTCTCTCTCAGCTAGTTTACACTATTTGCAGAGGAAAGTTATAATGATCGCACTCTCTGATAGAGCACTCTGATGGATGCCACAGTCTGCCCAATGAATGGCCTCATTAATAAACATAAGCTGTCTCTAGTGCGAGATGATTTTCGATCATCCCAGAACCTCACGGAGCTCCTGAGAGAACCCTGCCGGAGACTCTCCATCGCTTGTGGAGGGTTAGAGGTTGTTTAAAGCTCACAGCAAAGATGATGGTTAGCATTGGAGCATTTGCTTAGCTTTCAGGTAAAACATTTCGTGGCCTTTTTTTTGTTTTGTTTTTTTGCTGCGTTGAAGAATTCCTCTTGCCAGTCACTTCTTGCGCTTTATTGCCTCTACAAGTACCCTGCACTCGAGCACCAGTAGAACACTACATGTGCTGTTCCCTGTCCTCTCTGCTTTCTCGCTCTCTCGTCTCCGTCACTTACTGCTGTCATTCTGTCACTGAGCCGATGGGCACATTAAAAGACCTTCTGGTTCGAACCAAAACTCCCAACAAAATAGTAATAAAGCAAAATAAAATAAATCAAGTGCCTCTCTTTCTTAGCCATAATTATGATTTTGCGCTTAAGCCGAGACCGTAGCTGAAGAATCAGAGTTTAAAGCAAGCGCTTTGGTGCAAAAAAATGCATTTATGGGCCTCTGTGTACCTCCTCATTATGTGGGGGGCTGATTCATTAAGTAATTGGTTTGCAGTTGTTTACATGAGTATTAAGGCCCCCTATTCAGCAGTCTTTGAGAGATACATTGTGCAAATGTTGCATGTTATGAATGCCCAATGAGAGGCGGGGGGCCAGGCCTATTGGCCAAACACTGCGCTGGGCTGAAAAGACCAGAGAAAAGCGTCAGGCACTGCTTTGCATAGCAATGACGCGCCCATAATAAGCTTTCCAGATTAAATACATGCAGTCCATACAAGATGCAAAGAGATACTCTTAACACATTTATGTGTGTTCATTTCACTATTATGGCACTGAAGAGAATTGGGGTCTTTCGTCAGCGTGCTGCAAAATACTTTTATCAAACACAGCGTTTTATTGTGTTATAATTCAGAGGCTGTGTGGACTGTGTGGACCAGGGCACTGGTCCCATTGGTCTGGCCCATAATACAGCTCTGAATTCAGACTAACATGGTTGGCCACGAATGAGATCAGGAAGATCATTGATGTTTTTTTGTGTGTTTTTTTTCAGTGTGACTGGAGTAAACACTGTAGATATTATACATGTCCAAAACACTAATTACATATATTAATGCCAGGTTTAGATCAGTAATAATAATGTATGTATTCCATTTAATTACAAATTAATTCACAAATTAATAATGAATTATACAACTACTTTAAGTATAATCCAGCCTTACCTGGTCACATACGGTACACTCACTTTTTAAGCATCATGTACTATATAGCAAATCTTGGCTGTGTCATTTTTTAGATATCGTCAACTGTATCATCGCACAGCTCTCTATCAAATGCCTGATTTTTAATTTTTTTATTTTTTTTTTATAAAGTTGTATATATATATATATATAAGTATTTCCATTTGTCCTCTTTTAATAAAAAAGCAATGTGTTTGTCCTTGAAAACACTCTTAGCATCATTAACACAAGTTCACGTGGGAGGCATCAGTCAAGCTGTATTTTCATTCAGAGCTTCCTCTCTCATCATCGGCATTATTTGATTGCTTCAGTAAATCAGGGCTTTGAATGAAGAAAAAGGATCTTGAGGGTACAATGTTTAGGTTTTCACATCAACACAAGTTCACACAATCAGCTAAGACACACGCAGCCCTCCCAGCAGCGCCTCTCCTCCACGAATCCATTAGGGCAGGTAATGGATGGGTGAACCTCGAGAAGAGTAATCGTCTCTGATTTCACATGCTTTTCCGAGCATCACGCTGACACAAGAGTCGAAAGTTTCCCTCCCTGTCTCTCTGTCTTTTTTTTCCCTCTTGCTCCTTTTCTCTCTTCTGCCCAGTCTTTATGCCCACTCTTTGCCCGCCTCCCCTTTCTCTCTGTCTCAGCTAGTTTACTCTATTTGAAGAGGAAAGGGTATAATGATTGCACTCTGACAGAGCTCTCTGATGGATGCCACAGTCTGCCCAATGAATGGCCTCATTAATAAACATAAGCTGTCTCTAGTGCGAGATGATTTTCGATCATCCCAGAACCTCACGGAGCTCCTGAGAGAACCCTGCCGGAGACTCTCCATCGCTTGTGGAGGGTTAGAGGTTGTTTAAAGCTCACAGCAAAGATGATGGTTAGCATTGGAGCATTTGCTTAGCTTTCAGGTAAAACATTTCGTGGCCTTTTTTTTGTTTTGTTTTTTTGCTGCGTTGAAGAATTCCTCTTGCCAGTCACTTCTTGCGCTTTATTGCCTCTACAAGTGTTTTTTTGCTGCGTTGAAGTAGAACACTACATGTGCTGTTCCCTGTCCTCTCTGTTTTCTCGCTCTCTCGTCTCCGTCACTTACTGCTGTCATTCTGTCACTGAGCCGATGGGCACATTAAAAGACCTTCTGGTTCGAACCAAAACTCCCAACAAAATAGTAATAAAGCAAAATAAAATAAATCAAGTGCCTCTCTTTCTTAGCCATAATTATGATTTTGCGCTTAAGCCGAGACCGTAGCTGAAGAATCAGAGTTTAAAGCAAGCGCTTTGGTGCAAAAAAATGCATTTATGGGCCTCTGTGTACCTCCTCATTATGTGGGGGGCTGATTCATTAAGTAATTGGTTTGCAGTTGTTTACATGAGTATTAAGGCCCCCTATTCAGCAGTCTTTTGAGAGATACATTGTGCAAATGTTGCATGTTATGAATGCCCAATGAGAGGCGGGGGGCCAGGCCTATTGGCCAAACACTGCGCTGGGCTGAAAAGACCAGAGAAAAGCGTCAGGCACTGCTTTGCATAGCAATGACGCGCCCATAATAAGCTTTCCAGATTAAATACATGCAGTCCATACAAGATGCAAAGAGATACTCTTAACACATTTATGTGTGTTCATTTCACTATTATAGCACTGAAGATAATTGGGGTCTTTCATATCCACCCCCATTTTTTTTTTTCTTAATTCCCTTCCCTGTGCTCTCTTCCTCGTCAGCGTGCCGTTTTTACTGCAAAATACTTTTATCAAACACAGCGTTTTATTGTGTTATAATTCAGAGGCTGTGTGGACAGACCAGGCGGTATTTGTTACGCCTGTGTGCCGCAGTGATTCAGGAAGGAGAGCGCTGGAATAAGCAGCTTCACTCCATGTAAAGGCCTCTTGTTCCTGCACTTTGTTTAAGGCTGCATGCCACAGCTTCCTCCTCTTCAGCTGCTATTGTGTCTTCTGCTATTGCAGGCATGTAGCGCAGATCTCGCTCGCTCGCGTGCTGTTTCTTAATGTCCCACTCTGTTGCTTTATGAAAAATAACAGGGTAGGATTAGTGGGTTTATTTAAAGGGGTCATATGATGCTTTTTTAAAGATCATTATTTTGTGTATTTGGTGTAACAGAATATGTTGACATGCTTTAATGTTCAAAAAACACATTATTTTTCAAATACTGTACATTATTGTAGGTCCTCTATGCCCCGCCTCTCTCAAACGCTTCGTTTTCTACAAAGCCCCCTCCTT